TAAAAATATTGACCAAATCCTCAATGCCATTAACAAATTTATTACGAAAATCGCCGAAGTGTCTATTTGATGTTTGAGTTTATTTCACACTTAATTATTTTTCGTATCAACTCTTCGAAAGCTCCTTTAGGTGGGTTTCGAACTCGGAGAAATAGGCATTTCAGTTCTTCTAAAAAATCGCGACAGGCCTTTTTCTTATTTTCTTGCGAAATAGCTGATTAGAAGATATGGGCTGTGATGCTTCTGTAGTCATAGTTGTCATCGACGAATTCATATTAATTGCGAGCTGTAAAACGTTAGGATTTGCACACAACCATGAACAAAGTTGATATATTGTCATTTCGTTAAATGGTGATGGAATGATTTCTTCAACTGTATTGAAATTCATCGCATCTTGAGTCAAAGTTGTATTGTTAGAAATGTTCAAAATATTATCTTTTGGTTCTAATGGTGTTGGTCTTGAAAGTACAGTTCTGTTTGAAGGAATGTAACCAAATGGACTATTCGCTCTTGGTATTGATGGTCTAATACCAATTGAAGGCATATAGTCAAATGTGCCTTCTTTACAGAAACCCGATAAACTGCAGCGAAGTCGTGACCTATTCGTGACCAACTCGCGATCAATCAATGAAAAGGTTAGTTACGGGTTGAGTTACAAACTGGTCATGGCTTCGTCATAGTTTTAGTAACTGAATATTAAGACGATAGCTACGATTTGGATTTACAAATTGTTGATAAATCATAGTGATGTAGTAAGCAATTATAAAATAAATCGTAACCGTATATGTAATAAGTCTAAGCCATACATTTAATAAATCGCAGTGATGTCACATCCGTATCTAGAATAATTCTTATAGTGCATATGTAATAAATCGTAGCATTATCACGAATAAATCGTAACGACATAACAGACGCGTATATAATAAATTTTAGCCACATGTATAATAAATCGTAACCGCATACATAATAAATTGTAGTAATATAATGGCCGCGTATAAAATAAATCGTATTGAAATGTTATTCATATATTAAAGTATTATTAAATAATTCAAATTGTAAATATTATTATGTAATAACTAACTACAAAAATAATAACATAATATATATTTAGACATCTTTAAAGAAGTACATATTTCGTATATACATTTCGTTTTTGAGATTATGGCCGTTGATGCATTCAATATCATTACAATGATGAATAAAATGCGTAGTGCTTGTGCGGATCACGCTTATAGGGAAGATACGTCGTCGCTTGTTTGCAATCCGAAGCCTATATATCAGACATTCTAACACTGTTCGATTAGTAATTTCGAATCCATCGACAGAAACGAAAATATTGGTGGTTATTTTGATGGATAAAAATAGTCCGTATAATAGCAAAAGTTTCGCCATCATCGGTGGCTATAGTGACAACTTCACCAATATGCAGGCGATATAGAACATTAATATCATTTTCTTCTACCAAAAAACAAGCATATTCATAGAATTGACATGAATTTCCGAAAATTGCCGAATGATAGCCCATATCCTGATATGATAATGCCAATTCTACATGAAAATCAGCGTATTACTCCTTAGCCTTTTTTCTAGATATGCGCTTCTTTAAGGTTATCTTTGAGATATATTTAACTGGTGAATGTATTACTTGTAGACAATAATTCTAAATTAATTAATTAAGAAAAAGTTCGAAGATATTCAAAACAAGTGATGAAATCAAACCTTCGCTTATATCGCCATCAGAATCTAAAGATTTTTCAGTTATGAACCAATCATTCATCAGTCGTTTTAAGTGGTACGGAAGGTTTATTAAGGTATTGTTCGTGGAAGAAAAGTGACTATCCACATTCTTACGATTTGTTCGCGTCACAATATTTTTAAAAATGCGGTGTACCATTTCCTTCGTCCCTACTCCAGTATTCAATAAAGAAGCATAATTTCTAGCAAGTTGTACTAAATGAAAGTTAACATGCAAATTTGGAAGTTTTCGAAATCTTTGAATGCCTGTCTTATATAATAATTAATAAACAAAATATAAAGATCTATCTAACGATTACAATTACTAATTACTTATGACAATAGTCTTCTTTCATTGTCTAAGCATTCATACAGCTTAATATAATCATCTTCTGCAAAAGAACTCTTGAATGACATTGACATTGTTTTCGCCATTAATACCCAACATTTCAACCAAAGTTTTACAGCTAAATTACTTCGAGAAAGTCCTGTTCGGTGTTGAAATAAAGAAAGTTCAGCTTTTTTAAAGTATATAGACTTCAAGAACCTATTAAAGATAAATGGTATCATCATGGCTAATCACAAGCAATCTGACATCATGAAACTGTCGATGTGTGAGACTGGATTTGGTAATTTTTTCCAGTATCTAGGATATTCGAATACCTTCCAAGCCATGATGAATGCTGTTTTCCCTTCGGAGATAATGCATCGATAGTTAACTTGAGAAACCTTAAGACTTTACCAGCTGTAACATGATAGACATCTTGCGGTGATTGAAGATGTCTTTCCCTTTTCAATTCATCAAGTATTGGGACCTGTATACGCAATCCATAGGATGCAGCAATTTGTTTGCACCTTGTTATCGTCGATGCTGCACTAATCTCTTCAAATTGAATGTTCGTAAGATGGTGATAACGAGAAACCAAAAATAAATCAAGATTGTTAGATGTCCAAGAATTTTTAGTAGTATTACAAGTTCGATATCCCTTTGTAGCTCCATGTCTTTTAATTCCAGATAGGTCATTATCTTGTGGTAAATCAGCAGTTACATCTTCAAGACTTGTAAACACAAAGCTTTTGTTTCCTTGTACATCCATTTTCTAGCATTTTCATCTCTGTAATAAACGGTATAATGAATTCATCGAAACAACCGCTGAATGGAACAAACCCGAGCACAAAATGGTTTTTGAGTTGCTTTCTTTTATCGAAAGATAAGTTTCTGATTTGAATATAAATGCCTCCCAACGAGTGATAGACATTACGAAATATCCCAAAGTTATCATAATAGAGATCAATGTATAGCTTATATATCAGAAGACTTGTTTTTGGCTCTTTTAATGGAGCAAATTCAGAAGGATGATGATAAGAATATGCAACATTTCTTATCTTCCAGTAACCTTGATGTTTATAGAGGATTTCACGAATTACAATTGAAGAATGTTCGTTAATAGTATCTAAATTATAGATTATAGTGACCGCGACTCGTCTAATGATTTTTTGTAATTCAACATCTACTAACGCATCTTTCGTTTTCCAATCCAATAAGCATAATTCATTTCCACATCTTTTTTGCGATTGTTACTCTGCAAGTTTCCTGGTAATTCTATGAATGTTAGAAGACGTTGAATTGTCACTTTAAGTTTACCATCTACTTTCACAATCACCAAAATTCTGCCAATTTTATTTGACGACTCTCTATATACTACGAAATCTCCACAATTATATGTCGCTAGAAATATGAAATAAATTGAAAAGTTTAGAAACAATTGCCAAATCACAGCATAAGCTAAATATTAAAGCTAAACTAACATACCTCTGTTAATTCAAATAAACGCAGATCTGAACTGCGATGATTTTTTCCATATATTTTCATGCCAAAGCTCTTGATTTCTTTCAACTTTTTGGCCTGATCCGAAGTATATTTGGTTGAATAGCAAAGGGTTGTTAAGAATCTGCCAAATGATATCAGTTATAGATAAATAATATGCTTCTTTGTAACTTTAGATGTAGATGGTGTTTTTCTATTAGAAATCTGAATGCTTTGCGACTTAATAGGAAGCAAGGGCAATCTTTGTCAATACTTTCTAAAGCGTCAAATATTTGTCACAATATCTTTGCTTTTGAATTTAGGATGTTTGATTATGTCGACCAATTCATCATAGGCTTGAGTCACTAGTAAGTATTAAAAAAAATCGGTAAAACTTATAATAATGAATCAAACTGTTTAACATACATATGTTATGTTTTTGAATCCAGTAAAACATCAACGCTTCCGTAACGTTACTGAAATATGGAGCTAATTCTCCACTAATATGTGGCATATTTTCATTTTTTAAGGACTCGTCAATGATTTTTTCATCTCTATCAAGTTCTTCATTGAACTTTTCACTAAAATATTCATTATCAGACTCTCCATCAAGTTCTTCGTCAGACTCCTCGCTGGATTCTTTATCAGATTCTTCTTTGCTAGAAAGTTTACTGAAATTCTCATCGGATGATTCTTCGTTAATGATTTCTTCATTTTCAGTATTATCATTTTCTTCATGATCAAGTTCTATATCAATAATAATGTTATCCTCATGTGTATATAGTTCTTCGTTTATTTAATTACTTCTTTCATTCGATATATGATGGGATTGTATATTGTTAAAGGGATTATAACGATTTTTTACATAAGTTTGGCAATAGTTGAAGGAAGTATAATGATTTCGAAACATTTTAATTTTGTAAAAATTGACAGAATTTGTAATTTGTATTTATACTTCAGTTAGATGTGGAAAAATAAAGTGTATATCTTGTATTACAATTAATATACTTAAATAGACTAAAATAGACTAACAATTAATTTTTTTCGTATCACAATCACAATTACTGTATTATTATACTTAAATTGATTAACTGGTTACAATCATTTTGATTTATTATATTCCTTTAGTACTTTGCTTATGGTGATCATAGTGAACGTCATAAAAAAATAATTATTTATGTAATAAATTAAACTAATTGATCAACAAAATAAATCGATTTAAACTTTTTTTTTATAATAAGCTTTTAAAGTTTAATTTATAGTATACCTTATAAACTATCCCTTTATTAAAAAAATTCACATAAAAAGATATACTTTCTATTGGAATTTTTCACTGCCGCCAAATTTATCTTCAAGGGCTTTATTGATTTATTCTCAATTTTTACTGAAATTAGATGAGAAACTTATAAATATTTAGGCTGAAGTTTAAAGCAAGTTCAGCAAGAACTAACTAGTCGCTAAAACCGCTACTATTGCTAAAACCGCTAATAGAAAAACGAAAAGAAAAACATTTTAGTCTTCTTACCTAAACTTTTAATTCTCTAAAAATCATTATGCCACCAAAATGAAAGAAAGAAAATGATACTATTACCGTAGCAAGACGTAGCAGGAGGAAAGAAGTCCCACTTGAACCTTCGACGGATACTACTACTACTGTATCCAAATATAATCGCAAAAAGAAAGAAGAGTCATCTATTCAGCCGATAATTGATGAAATATTGAAAGACAACGATAACCAACAAGCCATAACTACAGGTACTAAACATGATCCTAATAAAAAAGAAGGAACCATGAATTCACAAAAAAAAATAAAGAAACGGTTACTTCTTCGTTTTCAAATGATAATCAACTGATAATTGATGATGATCTACAAGGTAATAATGTTAGTTAATAATTTACGATTTTTATATTTATTTAATCATGATAATTATATTTTTTTTTAGTCATAAATCATGAATTTTATGGTGATAGAAAAATAGCAAATGTTGAGACAGAATTGTCTTAATCTTTAATAGTAAGCCTGAATCCAGGTTCAAGGGCTAGTACTCCAGATAGTTTTCATAATATGTTTAAATCTTTCCATCAAGATATCTCATTAACTGCGCCTCCAAGACTGTTACCATCTCTGGAATCAAGATCTAGTGTTCCAACCAGTTTTTTTCATTCTCATAGAACTGCGTTTCGATCTCCAACAGCTGCACCTTTAAACTCATCATCAGCTTCAGAATCAAGATTCACGTTTCAGGAGATTCTAAATACATCTGGTCATTTCAATATAAATAATGTGATAGTTCTATCGCCATTTAATAAAATGACAATCTATCAACTAAGTTCGTGATTATGTGCAAATCCTAATATTTTGCAACTGGCAAACAGTATGCATTTATCAATGCAAATACCCGTTACAAATGAGGAGCGATTTGCACTATCATCTATTTCTCCAAGTTTATCAAATATATCACAAAATCAGGAAGATAAAGTATAAGGTCTTTCCAGTTAAAGTGTTTCACAAAGTATTAATAAAATTATGTAATAGGCGAAGGCTCATCGTGACTACTTGGATGAATTAAAATATCTTTTTTTTCGCGTTAGACATCCTCTAAAAAATGCGATTCAAGATTTGATACGCCAAATTTTCAAGTGTGACTTAAATTCAACCGAAGGTATTGAATGTTTAAAAGTGGCCAATAAGAACCTTGGTGATTCTCGTAACAAGTTAATCAATGGTATTATGGAGTTGATTAAATCGTTCAAAGAACAAAGATCCAAGTTAGTATATAAATTGTGTAATTTTTTTTTTTTTAGTTTGATACTAATTTTTTTGCGATTATAGAAATACAATAGGCTCTTTAAAAAAGGATGAAATTATCATATTCATAGACGAATCTGTTACAATTCAAGTGTTAAGTCATTAGCTAAATGCCACGAATATGGGTGAATTAAAGGCTCGACGTTCATTATCACATTTATGCAGATTTGTCCAATACGCATTTGTGATTAATTATGAATCAAGAGATATTGAAAGAACAAAAACTTTAGATAAATTAACAAAAGCCATTGCTGTATCATCGCAAAATGGCAAAAATTTCGCTAGCAATTTACAATTTTAAAATAATTGGTATAATAAGCATTAATTAATAATTTTCATTTTATTAAATGTAATTTTTATTGCTTATAATTTTACTGCTAATATGATTTTATAATTTTTATAACTTATAATTTATTAATTTTATATTTTCACATTTTTTAATTTTTATATTTTATATTCAATTTCACAAGTTTTTTAATACTTCAAAAAAAAAATAAAAAATTATATAAATGTCAATAAAGAATAATCTATTTGTAAAACAAAAAAAAATATATATATATTTTAAACATATTGAATGAATTAGTCAATTCGTCATTGTATATTCGCAAATATGTCGCACAAATATCCTGGATTAATTTTTTCGGTTGATTTTTAATGTTATTTATTATCTTTTAAAGATTACTATTCCAACTCACTACTATTTCGAGACTGATTTTTGTTGAAACCTTAACGAAATATTATCGAAATCTTAGCAAAAAATGTTATCACAAAGTAAATACAAATTCGAAAATACTTGATAACGATCACATGACAACTAGTTACAAAACACCAGGTTTCTGTAAAGTTTTTCTGACATCATTCTTAAGTTTCTATTTGAAAAACCAAATTTGTTCCTTGATAGATAGTCAATTGGACTATTTTCCCTTGATAATATTCTTGAAGGTGTCACTGATCGATTTGAAGGTGTATAGTACTTTAGACCAGATTTTGATTCATGAGTTTTTGAAGATGCCACTCGATTCACTGATAGATTTGAAGGTGGATCACGAGTTCTTAAAGGTATTTGATTTGAAAGAGTATTATTCAGAGTTCGTTTATTGGATATTGAGTCATAAGTTAACATTCTTGAAGGTATCATTTTAGTTAAGTCATTTGGTCTTGAATTTTGATTAGTTTCTACTTCTGCAGCTTCTTCATTATTACTTAGACCATTATAATTGTCATTAAGACTATTATTATCATTGTCTTGACCATCATCATTATTTTGACCATCATTTTAACCATTACTATCGTCTTGACCATTACCATCATTAAGAATATTATTATTGTTATCATCTTTCAAAAGTTCATTAATTATTTGTGATAATGGAGGTTTATCTATTTCTTTTTGTTTTTTCTTACTTTTACTTGGTGGATTATCAATATTATCATCATGACATTTAAGTGTTTCTTCTTACTTTTACTTTGAAATATATTATCATTATTATCATTGATATTAGTTAAAAGTTTATCAAGATCATCATCCAAAATAACTATTAGCTAACTTTTCTATCATAAGTTTCTTAGAAGATCTCATGGACATCATGGTTTTTTGAGAAAGTAGTAAAAAAGATTTTTTTTTCATTTAATTCGTATAATAAGGTTTCTTAAAAGATTATTTTTCTTTTAATTCAGATTATAATAAACTTTCGATTGATTGTTTAACATATTTATCTCACACTTTATTCTTATAATTATTTTACCAAATTTGGTTTAACTTTATCAATAAACTTTACAAACTTTTTTACGTATGATGATTATTTATCCTAAGTTAGCAATAAATACAATATTCATTACAAAAAGTGAAATAAAATTTCGTAAAGATTGTTCATGTGTGAAATTTAATACAATATTATATCATACAAAATTGTCTATATGTGAAAAAGTAATTAAGAATTTTTTTTTTATAAAATAAATAAGAAAAGAATTTAGTTACTAAAAATTTTATCAATTCAAAAAATTTATAAATAAACGAAAATATTTTCTCATTTTTCATATAACAAATATTCTTTTATATCACAAATGTTTCGCAACTGCTACGCCTTTTTAAAATACCATGAAAATTATATTAGAAACCCATTTAACACGTCTTTAAACACTAAAATAAATGGTAAATATTATTTTAGTAAAAGAAACGATGCAGTATTATGTTCATTTTATAAATAATGTCTTTAATAATAACAGATAACTGCACTAAAATAGAACGTGATAATAAAGATAATGAAAAAGATAATAAAAGTGATAGTAAAAATAATGAAAGTGATAATAGAGACAATGAAGTATCAGATAAAAACTATGAAATACAAGGCAATTATGAGGCTCCAAATCATGAAGAATTGCATATTGATGAAATTCTAAACAAAGAAACTGGTGATAAAGTTTCAAACGAAAAAGAATCCAATAAGGTTCTCGATGAAGAATCTGTTGATGAAGCATCAAATATAGATGATGATGATAAGGTGTTTATTGAAGAAGAAACTGATAATAGAACTTTAAACATAAAAGGAACTGATAGTGAAGTGTTTGAAGAAGAAAATAATGATAAGATGTTCAAAGAAGAAACTGATGATGAGATATTCGATAAATATGAAATCTTCAACCAAAAAAGAAACTGATGATGAAGAAAATGTTAGCAATAAAGCATCGTATGCAAAAGAATCTCATAAAATCATTGATAGTGCCTTAAATAATGAGCAAATGCCATTTATTAATGAAGAGTTTGCATCATACTTTAAAAATATTACCGAAGTTTTAATGTTTTGCTGGATCCAAAAGCATAACATATGTAAGTTTTCTATGACCTTTTTAATTATTTCAAATTAACTTTGTTATACTAATTCAAAATCTTAATAGCCACCCAAGCATATGACAAGCTGGTTGATATAATTCGTCATCCCCAATTCAAAGGTAAGGATGTTGTAATAAAGATTCACTGATTTAGGAATTACCGATAAAGATTACCTCTACTCTCCATCAAATCACGCAAAATTCATATTTCAAATAAAAAAACCCCATCAACTTCCCAAGAAACTAAGGATATATATTATTTATCCATTACAGTTATCATTTGGTATTCTCTTAATAATCCTCTACTGTTCGGCCAAATGTATTTTGATCCAGGTCAAACTGTCGAAAGAAATTTAGAATTATGACATGGAAATTTATGGAAAGAATCACCACGATTCAGATGTTCTTCTATTCAAATTAATGGAAGTAAGTGTTACTTTTACTTGTTAAATTAGGTTCTACAAGTACTGAAATATGATTGTTTATTATTAGAAATTTACAGTTGTAGAGATTTCATGGTATATAAAGAATCAATAGAAATAAATAAATTTGAACGAATTTTAGCAATAGTGGATATAGGTGGTGAACTCAAAATAATGATTCAACGTATTTTAACATTTGAGGAGCTGCCAAATAACTTGCAGAGTAATAATCGAAAAAGAAGTTCACAAAATGAATTATGGTTATTAGACTGAGAAATGGAGAATGCAATATTATCTGTCGAATTTCAAAGAATTGTTAAAGCTGTAATGATTGTTATACTTTATAATAAAGATTATTTTAATATTAATTTTTATTCGTGAAATCCTTTATAGACATCAAGAGTGTTAGAAGTTAATAAACGTTATGTATTCTTATCAATATCCTTCAGAGTTTGCTACTTTTGAAGTATCAGTTATAGGTCTTTCAATTTATAAGCTGTATATCGACCTTTATTATGATAATTTCGGTACATATCTTAATGTCTACTATTTATTGGGAGGCGTTTATATTTAGGTTGGAAATTTACCCTTAGAAACCACTTTGTCTTTGGATTCATCCTATTTGATAGTTGTATTGATAAGTTCATTAAACTTTTTGTTGACGAAATGAAGGAATTAGAAAAAGAAATGATAACAAATATCTAAGGAAAAATGTGCCTCGTAATTGCAAGTCTTGGTGATACTACTGCTAACTTACTCCAAGGAAACGACTTGGCTGAAGTCAAAAGCATAGTGCTATAAGAGGTTGTAAAACCTGTTATGCAAAAAAAGATTCTTGGACTTCTGACGGTCTTGACTTATCATCTATTTTCCGTTATCATCATCTTACAGATAATTAATTCAAAGAAATTTCTGTAGCTCTGATAATAATGAAGTGTAAAGAGCTTGCGACGGAATATGGATTGGAATTCAACCATCAATACTGGATCAATTAAAGAGAGAGAGGCACTTGCAATCGCCACAAGATGTCTATCATGTTATAGTCAGAAAAGTATTGCGATTCCTAAAAATAACAATTGAGGCACTTTCTTAAGAAAGAAAATTGGAGTTCATATCATTTGGAAGCTATTCAAATATCTAAGAACGTGGCAAAAGCTGCTCAATCCGATATCTCACATTGACAGCTTCATGATGTTGGACTGTTTAAAATTGACTATGATGATTCCTTTCATTTTTAAAAACCTCAGCATTTCAAACAATCTGAATTTGATAAATTACGAAGACAAACAAGAGTTTCAAGAAATGATATGGCTGTAAAACTCTGGTTAAAATGCTGGGTCTTAATGATGAAAGCAATAGCATTCAAGCGTTTTTTCACAGAAGAGAATTATATTAAATTACGCGAATGTTTAAACAATAAAAGACAATTACTTTTACAGGTATTTAACAACTATTTATTTATTTAGTAGATTTATTAATGTACTGTTTATTACGATAATATGATTCTTTATTAATAACAATAGGCATTTGAAGACTTTGAAAATCTTCCGAATTTACATGTTAATTATCATTTATTATAGCATGTGAAAAACTATGCGACTTTATTAAATACAGGTGTAGGGACGAAAGAAATAGTACACTGTATATTTAAAAACATTGTATTAAGAACAAATAAGAAAAATGTAGACCTTAGTAAACCTTGACTTGTCCCTATGAAAAAAAGTTGCACATGTTTCATACTGATTTTGTACAGGTATATACTGAAATCATACAGTTTTTGTGTAGTTATTTCAAATTTCCATACAAAAATAATTGTACAGAAATTTTATCGTAGAGAAATCGTACAGAAAATAATTTGAAATTTGAAATATATAAAAATTGTGTTTAAATTGTATTGAAAAATTAAAACATACAGATTTTGTATAGTTTAGTATTTTATCCACGTATGGAAAATTTAATATTACTAAAAGTGGGTAAATTAAATTAATTAATTTTTTACAAAAATTGCAAATAATAACAAACTGAGCTTTAAAACCTTTCTTGGCGTTAAAAGTAAACTTGCAGAGCAGACAAAAATACTATTTATGATAATAAATTTAAGCTAGGAAATAATCATACAAAAGCTATATCGATTAGTATAGTTGATTTTCCTAATTTAGATGTTGTAGGAAAAATGTGCTAAAATTTTGACCGTACAGGTACTAGGGTTATTTCATGTTTTGGTACCCTGCACTATCCGAAAATTGTAGTGTTTTTTTTTGGCACGAAAATTACACAAAAACTGTATGGGATTTTTTTCATAGGGTGTTAAAACGATACACAACATTATTCGCAATACGACACTTAATCGATAAAGGTGAAAACTACTATTTTTCTTTTACAAGTAATGCTTTGACAAACCTTTCACGTCACTTAAAACAGATGATGAATGACTGGTTTATTGCTGAAAAAACTTTTGATTCCGAAGAAGATATGAGCGAAGGTTTGATTTGAATCGATTAATGCAATATTTAATTTTATTAAAGATTATTGTATATTATTTTTATTACATTATATTAGTCAAATGTATTTCAAATGTGTTTTTAAAGAAACGTATACCTAGAAACAAAGTCGAAGAAGTTTTGCCAAATAATTCTAACTTTCATAGAGAACTGGCTTCAATATATCAGAACATGGGTTATGAATTTAGTATTTATGAATCAGCATATTTTGGAAATTTGTGTCGACATTACGAACTTGCCTTTTTTTGGTAGAAGACAATGCACAGTATCGCTTGCACGTCAGTGAAGTTGTCGGCATAACTTCTAATTATGCAAGCTTCACGATTATATGGGGCCTTTGCAATAGAAAGGGGGAAACGGCGGAAAAATCAAAAATGAGTTAATGGCAATTTCAGATATATTTCAGCCCGAGAAATATATTTGGATTATAAAAGCAAGTTATATTACATAATAAAATTTTGAGATACTTCGAGATAAATCTTTTCGTATATAAATCTATTATTAGTAGCAAAATTTTTAAAAATTTTACTCGTTTAAAAAGTCGACGACTTGTCAATTTAGTCTTATTCTACTGCGTCATCCCAATTTATTTTTTTTATTCAAATATAATAAGATCAGCATATTTTTTTAACTTTGTCCTTTTTTTTCTTTTTTTTACACATTTTTTTTTCATTTACCCC